CATCCAAGTCAGACTGCTATGCTAATTTTATATGTTATGATTTTCTGGCATGTACAGTATGTAAAACTTGAGTGCCACTAGACAAGCGTCAGCCCACTCGTCCCTTTTGAAGAATATAATTAAGCTGCGAAGTAGCCATAAATAACAGCTTGTGCTTTTCTTCTTTGCTTTTTTTTTTTGTAAGCTAGTGCCACGTTGTCATAGTTACAGTGAGTTTTTAGTTCCTCCATATGACGCCAACATGGGGCTTTCCACTGTTAAAAAGCAACACCCAAAGTTGTCCCAATTGCACAATGTCACTAAATGTTTCATGGTCCATGTGCGGATATGGTGCAAAGGGTCATATATCAACAATCAAATAGCTTTTTTCTGACAAGTTTTGCGATTGCGATTAGGATTGTGATGCGATTTTTACAAAAGCATTCTGTTAAAAGTTAAATGTTTGTGTAAATGTCCCGAGAATTGATGAAAAGACAGTCTAATACAAGATTCACATTTCAAAACTACAGGTTTAACCGTTTTAGGCAAAATAAGATCAGATATTTTATTGTGTGTGGAGGAAATTATGGTACTTTAAAAATTGCAGCCTTAGTCCTAATTACATCCATTCAAACTGCAGTTTCATTTCAACTGCAATTAAACTTGCAGCCCTAGTCATGACTCATGACGGTTTATTCTCATGGTCATGGTTCTGCTTTTTTGCAATACATATAGAGCTAGACCTGTCACGATAATTACTTCATGGAGTTATGTTCAATATATGTTAGATAAAACTATTATTTTGGGGGTCAGTATTTATCGTGGAGACTTATTACATTATTTTTCTGTCCTACAGTATGATTTGAGATGTAGTGGGTTGAATAAACAACTTCTGTGACCCATTATAGATGCAAACTAAAGTGTTTCATTATGCTGTTTATTTACTGCAGTTCATGTATTTTGAAGTTATTGTGTCAATGGCATATATTACTTTCAATATTATAATTTATTGTCTATATTTACTTTGATATTTTACACTGAACTTTAAAATTTGTTATTGTGACAGGCTTATATAGAGCCTTAGTCCTTCCGAAGATATTTTAATATCACAAAACATCCTCTTTCATAAGGTAAAAATACAGATATAATTTCAAAATGGGACAATGCCTGGTCTCTTGCTCAGATATGAATACAAAAAGAAGTCCTGCTCTATCATCATCATTGTACTGGTGTAGAAAAATCAGTTGGAAGTGTGATAAAATTCTGTGTAGGGCTCTTCACAGGAGCAGATCTGATTGGAGTGATGGATGTTCAGCATGCACACTTCTTCAGACACAAAGACTGAGCACTCTCAAAGGAGATGTTACCGACAATGGTTTATCTGCATCATAAGGCCACTTTAGAAATGAGACTCGTCTGCTGTTTCACTTTCGACAAAGGCGGACATGATGAGAAATGTGTTATGTTGTATGCTATATAAGTCAGTTACTGTGATTTATCGTTTTATCAGTGCCAATACTTCCAATAGCCGGTTGGATACTTGATATTACATAACAATATAAAAGAAAAGTTTGCAAATCATACAAAAAGATGAATGTAAAACATGTATCACACATTGATTATATTTACAGACAATGGAAGAATGAAATCTTTGTAAGCAATTATTACCATTGTCTGTTATATCAATAAAGTATCTGTTTGACCTAATTGAACCCATTTTTGGTTAAAGATCCTACAAGCTAGTGTCGTAGTACTCGAGTCTAATCTTGTTCTCGAGATAATTTTTTATGGTCTTGGTCTCATCTCAAACTCGACCGTGTTGGTACTCGGTCTTGTCTCGGTCTTGAAGGTACTTGGAATCGGTCTTGTCTCGGACTCAAGGTCTGACACACGTTGAGTGCGGTCATATTTTCATTATGGCAATAAACTTCTTACCATGACATATGGTTGAAGTTTTGTCATGACGTGCGTTTGGTAAATGTGTAGAGGTAAATCCCACTGCAAAACCAGTAAGAAAAAGTTAACTCCAGTTAGGAACTTGAAAAAACAGGTTTAAAAATCCTACTCCCTTTCTTTACTTTCTTCAGTTTTCTGTAAAGTGCAAGTAGAAGTTTTCTTAAAGAAGGCGTTCTCAAACTGTGGGTGAATGTTTAAGTGCTTATTTTAGGCCTAAATGAACATTAATCAGATAAAATGGAGATAGATGTATAAAACATTGATATATATATATATATATGCCAAAATAACTGTAAAATACAAATAAATGTAGGAAATTACAAAGATGGTCTTGATTTGGTCTCGGTAGGCTGTGGTCTCAGTCTTGACCTTTAGAAGTCTTGGTCTTGTCTCGGACTGATCTTGTTTTCGATTAGTGTGGTCTTGACTACAACACTACTACAAGCTTCAAGCATGCTGTTTCTTCATCAAAAACAGTCCTGGAGTTGTGTTTTGTTTCATTCACATATGTTTGAGTAATCCTGCATTATAAGTCTGTCTATATCTCCACAGCTAAAAATGCTCAACAAGTTACCTTTTGTTTAGAAGAGATTGGAAATTCCAGCGCTGAAATTATTCAAATCACTCTAGTAAGGTGTATGGAGTTTAAAAACACAGTGGAGCAAATCCTGTATTACCACATTACTTCACATGACGGCTAAATGTGCAGGTTTTGTGTGTGAAACGTGTGAATGAAACAAAACACAACTCCAGGTCTGTTTGTGACGAGAAAACAACATTATAAAACATTATATATAGAAGTGTAGTAGTGCCTCTTTAAATAAATGTTTCAGTGTTTTTAAAAAATATAAGACAGAATTTGCGATTTCTATGAATATATGAATGTCAAATAGGATATCTGAGTAAAAATCATGAAAGCTTTGTCATCCATAAATAAACAAAAATAAATCTAATCTAACCTATCACTACAGAAAGAATTTGTGGTTTGTATGTATACACCAACGTCAAATATCTGAGCAAAAAAAGTATGAATCTTTTTCATCCAAAAATCCAAATTAATCAAAAAAATTATTGACAATCAGGATGAAGAATATGAACACTGTTGACATTATCTTTTGATCATTTCAGACATGTTTGCATTTCATCTGTATTTATGAGACTTGAAAATATGTGGCTTTCAAACATCCTGATATTTCTTCCTCCAGTATATGAGTCATTCTCTGTGACTTATTTATAGCAGGTTTCATTGTTTTAGCAGTCAACTGAGGGCGGAATCTGAAGGACTGTCGAAAATCCATCGGGTCACAAATAGTGACCGAGACCACCCTGACCTGCTGCTGTGTTCCACCACACTGATTTCAATATGACATTAACTTTATAGCATTTTTTTTTAAGACAACGTTTATAACAATATCATAACTAATTAGAAAACCGCAATTTATTGTATTATACCAAAGTTCAACTTGGCTATATATTTATGATTTACAAATTCCAGGAGGTTCCCGCCATCCTCTAGCCTAATTTATCAGTCGGTTTCACTTCGTGGAAACCGTCTGACCTTGCGGTGTTAGGAATCGTTTGCTCGATGGTAGGCAGGTAGTTTTTCTATTTTACTGATCGCTGCTATTTGGTTGTGACGTATGTAATGCGCTGCTAATGGGGCTGACTGGTATATTAAGCTTTTCCCAAATCCCGATGGAAGAAGGGCAATAACGTCTTTCCTCTTGGTAAAATTCACCAAACATTCTCTTTGTTCCGGCTTTAAATCCTCAATCTCGGGAATCGTTGCCAAAACAGAATATATGGCTTCGTCTACATCAATCTCAACCGCTTTGTTTACTGTTGTGCAGTACCACACAGCTCATTTAGTGTATTCCTGACCTAATTGCTGAAGAGAAATGAAACTGAGCAGAGGCACTAGGTGGCGCCAGTCTGGCTAGCCATCCTCTGCTTCTTCCTGAAAAGTATTTAAAGGTGCTGTACTTTTGATTTGTACTGTCCTGAAAACATGAAAAAACAGAACTACTTCATTTTAAATGGTTTGCAGTGGTCCAGAGTTATTCCTCATTTACTTTACGCATTCTGAGCATCCTAATTATTCAAACTCTCAGAGCCCAAAATAATAACAACCAGCATGCTAACACTCAGTTCCTGATTCCCAGACAATAAAATGATTTATACTTAAATACAAACAGCATGCACTAGACATACAATATAAGAGCTCCTTATACAAAACTACGGCAAGACAGATTTGCTCAGTTGCGTTGGGAAAATCGGGTACAGGGCCTTAAAGAATTCAAAACTGTATTGATTATGATATGGTACGGTTTAAAATTACATGTGTATTTCCCATTAATAGCACAGTTCCTCCTCAACACGTTTTATATTCACTTTATAATGGCACACATGCATTTGGCAGGCAGCAAGTAATCAAATTCAGGCATAATGATACACCATCCAAGTGTCGCTATTGAATTTAATATACAATCAAAATTGAAGTATAGCTTCAAGTCTTGGGAGACGCTAAACCTCCCTTTGCTAAATAAAGCCCACTGCCTCATCTATACAGAGGAAGGGAGTTTTTTTCCTGGATGACAATATGGCTTTGAGTCTTCCTGCCATCCCAGGGTGAGAGGTAGACGGGATAGAACCACGTGGAGCCCGGTCAAAGGTCAACGCCCCGATTCTATTGTCTTTCTTGGGTCCAACACCGGAATTGCTTGGGTTCCACTCCCCATACTGTCTCCTCCCTTTAGCTCTCCAATCACACACTTCCTCACTCCTCCAAGACCCCCTTTCCTTCCTGATGCTCACGTGGAGTCCAAGTTTGTCTTGGGTAGGTCCCTCGATTGTTAAAGGGCCTTGATCCTCCAGCATGCAGCAGCCACCTGTATGTTCAACCTAGGCTTTATATTTATGGTTAACGAATCGCAGGAGCTGTCCATCATCTTTGTGCCGCTAGTTCTTCCTGATCCAATGGTCGAGGTATTTCAGGAGTCGGAACTGTATGGACACATTGTTGCAAGGTGTGAATTAACAATCTTGTTTTTTTGTTGTTGTTGTAGGAGGAGAATACAGCGTTGCGACCGCGCCTGTGTGTCATCCAAAGAGGACCAAACGGGTATGGGTTTAACCTGCACAGCGAGAGGGCCAGACCGGGCCAGTTCATCCGGGCGGTGGACGAAGACTCTCCAGCTGAGAGAGCAGGACTGCAGCCCCAGGACAGGATAGTACAGGTACTTCACAAAGGATGATGCAAGGGGAGGTCTTTCACACACTGACAAGAACAGTGGAAGTGCAAAAGGAAGTGACGCTTGGCTAAAAGAATCTGCCCTTGAACTCATAATATGCAGTTTGTAAACAAATTAGGTCTAAAAACAAGGAAGCTAGGTATTGTATAATGGGGACAAGGTATTTCTCATAGCGCTAACCTACACAATTCAATACGTGATATTGATTTGTCATAGTTGTTGATTTGAAACAGGTTTGAGTCAATAAGAGCATCTTTAGTCTCTATTCTTAGATATAACAATGCATCCATTGTGACAGTAAATTTAATCAATAGGTCTTGTATCTAAGTATCTAAACAAACAGCGTAAGAATAGAAATACCATGCCACTTGCAAGGGTTAGATTAATTTCTTAAGATATGTAGACATTTCACGAGCTGTTGCGTACAAAGAACACATAATATGCATAAAGATAGTGGATAAGACTACACTTAAAACACACTTACTTAATTTAGAACACTAAGTGGAGAGTATTGTTTCATATCTTGCAATGGTTTTAAGCAGTATATGGTTCAAAGATAGAGCTATGTCATTGAAATCCTTGTGGAAAAGACAGGAAGTCAGTGAACAACAGATGCCGCTTTGTGGAGCTGATAGCAGTAATGTGAGAATGTGTGATTACAAACTGGGCACTAGTATTAGACTATTGTGACTTAAAAATACTTTGCGCTAGCATGTTTGAAATATTTGTGTAAAAAATGTTCTTTTGCTGCTGCTGCTACTGCTGCTGCTGCTGCTGGGCAAAAAAAAAACAAATTAGCACTACTGCTCTAACAGATAGATGTTGTGTAGTAAATGACATTTAAGTGAAATTATTAAAACTTTTTGGATGAGAATGTATGTCTGTTCAGTGACTTGCATGGAAATACACAAGTAAAAGAAACAAACCCAAACAAACTAAATTAACATATGACACTGGAAATGATAAATAATTTCCTGTACAATCAATATCATAGGTAAAACACTTCAAAAAGTATGTGCCGCAAGCAGGCTATCAAGTCAAAGGCAAAGAGGACAGGATTAGGGATTATAGAACTTCAGCATTAAGGATCAAGTGGATCAAGATTTGGGTTTCCAGTCCCCTGATTAGGCCCCCAGACAGCTCCACCACCCACAGAGGAACGGCCCTTTACACAGCCATTGTTACCACTGTTACTGGCCCCGGCACTTATTGTCCAGCCTGCTCTGTGGGACTGGCTTAAATGTGCTGGTCCACCCTATGACCTAAGCACACACACACACACACACACACATGCACACACACACCCTTGGAGACATTTCTCACATGCTTTCCCATGGTGATTTTCTCTCAGAACATTCAGCCAGTCTGGGACAAAGCCCACCTGACATGTACAAAATACTATACCAGGAAATGGTGTGTAGATGATAGGGTAGTTACGTAAGAATGTGACACTATTGCATGACTAACAAAAACGTGCAAAAAATAGTAGTAAAATATCCTTACTAGAGAGGAAGCTGAGTAGAGGTGAAACAGATAATCGTTGAAAATTGACTTCTGTTGTTAGCGTGGCTCAATTCTATAACAAGCCCCTTCCCCAAAAATATTTTTAAAGCATTTTAGTTTAAAAGTTTCAGATATGCTTTCAATAAAATGCTCAAGGTTACCTCCTTTAGTATCCAAAACCGCAAGAATATAGCAGTAAATCTGAAACATCCGGCGTGCGTCTGTGTGTAGACAGTGGATTTCCTGCTCCAGATTTATGACAAAAAAAAACTTCACGGTACAAATCTGACAATTAAGAACTATTCCCTAAATATTAGAAGTACTGCTATTATTTGCAAAATATTACAAAGGTGTAAACACTTAAAGTTTAGGCCAAAATGGTGCATGGAAAGCTGAAACGGTACTGTATTCCTGTATAATATAGTCGTTTCTGTTGTCTGTCAGGTAAACGGAGTGCCAGTGGAGGGGAAGACGCACTCACAAGTGGTGTCCGTCATAAAAGCTGGAGGCACTGAGACTAGACTGCTGGTGGTGGACCCAGAAACAGACGCTTTCTTCAAGAGGTGTAGGGTGGTCCCCAGAGAAGAGCACATCACAGGTAAGACAAAACAAAGGCAACGTGTTTTACAGTAATGTCAAACTGTGAAGACAGTACTCAAAAGTTTGTGGCAGCAAACCTTGTAGTATTTGTAATAGCAAAAATTTTAGTACATTTTTTGAGTACTTATATTTCCAAAACAAGACAGAAATATTATGTATCTACCAAATCACAGCAGAAGAGGGAAATCAATAGCATAATTTACAACAATGGAAAGGAAAGTTAAAACCATCCTTTGGAACATTCTCCGCAGAGATAGATTTGTTTTATGCCCTTCTGTGGAATATTACAGCCAAATGAACATTTCCATGGAAAAAAACACGAGAAGGCCCTCTACCAGGCCAAGTAAAATTCAGGTCAAGTTAGGTTTGTGGAGATACAAGCCCACTAATAAGACAAAACTGCTTTTATTTTAGTCTACTTACATACTATGGCTTTACCTAAATAAATATTCTACCACAACCGATTCAAGGAAAAGTATAAAGGTTGGCTGAGTAACGACGTTGATCCAGAGTTGATCCAAGCTAAGCGCCACATATCAGCTCTTCACCCAAACCAGACAGACGCTTGAGTAACTTGTGCAAACACTTGAAAACACTTGGGCAATCAATTCACTATCACAATGAAACAAGACAAGTTACTTTTTAGCTCCATCCCCGGCAGTAAAAAGTGAATAACAGCTATTAACTACCAAAGTTTTACTGGGCTTTTAACAAGTTTGGGACCCTGGCGTTCCTTCTGTGAGCCTTTCTCTTTCCATGTTGTTTCACATCTCTGCCAAGAAACACAGACAGAATAGAGACAGCAGACAGTGAGTGCGGACTTCCTGCCCCCCGCGCTGGTGCCCTGCAGGGAAAGTTAATCTAATGGACATAAATAGAGCAGATCAGACAGATCAGAGTGGAGCTGTACTCAAAGATTAGCATTTTGTGACTCTTGTGTTTATTTCTGTTATATGTTTATGGTGATAGTCAGGATTTTCTGCATTTAATACCTATCTTATCAGGTGGATAGTGTTATAATTTGTTTAATGTGGTGGAATACATATAATATCCACTAGGGGGAGCCACCACACAGCCCGTATAAGTACAGTTCTGTTTCCTGAGAGGATATTGAAAGCATCTAATATAACTTAGTGAATCTATGATTATATTATGCTATGTCCACATGTAACTATTAGATTTCATAGATTTCATGTGGCCTACAGTGTAATATTTTGAGATATTTTTTATACCGTGTTGATTGTGTTAACTGTAGGGCTGTAAGATCCATCTAATCAAATTTAAATCCCAATTTGAATGGACGCAAATCGCAAAGGCTACAATTTTTAAGAACCATAATTTCCTCCACAAACTGCAAAATATCTTGTCTTATTCTGCATAAAAACTGCCAACTCTGTAGACTGGATCTTCTTTACAAACATGTTCTGAAATGTGATTCCTCTATTAGTTTGCCTGTTCATACTTCAGTGCTTTTGTCTTTTCGTTTGGATGCTTTTAAAATGTGAACTTTAAACAGAATCTTATTATTAAAACATAAATCTCAAATCTAATCACAATCGCAATGCTTGTAGAAAAATCGCAATTACATAGTTTTCCCAAATCATTGAGTTCTAGCTGGCTGCTACCTTGACCTGGTCTGTCTTGTAAAATATTCTGAATCTTAATGGGATTTCCTTCTTTAAAAAAGAGGCAAATCATTGTTCTGGAATAAATAGCAAGTTCAAAATAAGTACTGTTACTGTTTCACTTAGTTTGGTTGTCTTCTACTGTGTATCAACAATATTAGAAGTAAAATATTAACAAATAGATTATTTTCTAATTCGCAAAGCAGAATGAACCCATTGCACCTGCCTGCACTGACTCTTAACTCGAGCATGCTGCCTGTTCAATGGGCTAGATCTTTTTGTGTGGTTTCCAAGGCGCTAGCTTCAAGAGGTCTCTCAGCCCTCCACCAGAGCTTTACTGGGAACTTGGAGTGGCCATAGAAAAACAGCTGCCACCTCCGATAGGTTTCATTAGCTCAAAACATAACCGTGAGAATGGAAGGTAAGGGGAGCAACATGGAAACATACTTCATCTGACTTTCTCATGGGCTGTTTGGACAAGATGGGTCATGTAGCTATTTGATACTTGATTGGAGAAGGAAAGAAGATGAGGTGGATCACTGGAGTTCTTCTTGAAGATATTACTCTTGTGAATAATTCAGGATGTGTCCATAGCTTCTCTATGTGATAAGGTTGGTGTAGTGAAAGGTGAGCTGGAAGATAGAGAAGCAGCATTAGAGTAGACCACAATGGGATCTGACTGTAGGTGTTATTAAACAAATAGAAGTATTATAAATAGGGGATTTGATGGTGATGTCTGATAGCTTTGATTTGAATTGTAGAGTAAAACTGTTTTGTTGTTGATTTGTTTTGTCAACAGGTCCACTGCCTGAGCCTGTAGTCAATGGAGGGATAGAGGAGAAGGTAAGACACATCACTCGAAAATGTTTTAAATCATTGTCTACACGTATACCAACAGTGTATCTACTAAATTGTATGTATGTGTAGATTAGATTTGAATTAATACGGTCATACTTGTAGGCTAAAATGAATAATATAGCCTTTATTATAGAGAAATACTTAACTTGTTTGGACAGCTGTCTGTGTTTCATGACCAATTCTCATTTGCTTACTTGCCTCAGCTATTTGACTACTGCGAATATCAATTAAAGCAACAAAAATGTGTGTACTACATGTTTGTAAGATGTCTGATTTGGGGATATTCATAAATAATTAGTAGACTTGGACAGCACTGTGACTGAGAGAGAAGTTTGTTCAACCTGGGTTTCAGATTTTTCCATAGTGAAATAGAAAATGTACAGATATTCTTTGAGCTCTTACATATATTTGTGGGTTAAGGGCCTCATCTCAGGTTACAAAGCTTAACTCTCAGGTGACAGTAATGATAAGGAGAGATAAGTCCAGGTCTGACCACAAAAAGAAACCAGTGTTTAGTGCTGGCCTGCTGTGGCTGAATGCTTTCCTCAGGCGTACGGCCAAACATGCAAAGTGACCCCAGCTTCCCGTTACTGAGGGACTGTATCTGCAATGCTAAAGGACGCTCTTCCTTGTATTGTTGCGTAACGCTGGTTCAAGGCTAGGCCAATGCTACAGGCCAACATTCATGAAAAAGAACGATTTGCGAGTAAGCCGAAGTCATGAAAATATGGGTCAACTATACCAGAAAATCTGATTCTCTCTTTACGTTTCGTGATGTACCGTATCTGCTGTTTTGGCTTGTTTTGTGTTTAAGTTGAAAAAAAAAATAATACAGTTGAGAAAATATTGTACTAAAAGAGCACATTTCAAGTTGTTATAATATATTACAATAATGTACAAGTTTCTGATTCTGTGTTTTCTATGGAAAGTAGATTGTTTTAGATATGCAACACTGCCCTTGTGTGGTGCTGAAAGGTACTGCAAAAGTAAAACAAAAGGTCAAAGCCACAAAGTCTTTTTCAGGGTATCCCCAGGTTTGACTGCCCCAAATTTAAGACTTTTTAAAGACCTTTTTAAGACCACTTAAATGAAAATTAAGACCAACATCGCACCCATTATGCGGGCAAAAAACACCACATCCAATTCTAATAATGACTATTACTTACTGCTTTCAATAACAAAAAATTATTTTATTATAAAATCTCATTCAGAACACATTTATAGTAGTACACATTGCTTGTAAAATGGCCAAAAATAATTTATAACATTATAACAAGACAAACTAATTATTGTTTGCGCATACTCCAAATTAGACATTCATTCACGTTTTTTTTTTGTTTGTTTGTTTGTTTTGTTTTTTTTCCTCCCTTCATTTAACATTGCACTGCAGCCCGGTTGAGTATGCAAAAAATAGGCTAATGAAATTTAAGACCATTGTGAAAAAAAATAAGACTTGGACAACATAATTTAAGACTTTTTAAGGCCTTAATTTAGGAACATGAAATTTAAGACCTTTTTAAGACTTGTAAGCCCCCGCAGCTACCCTGTTTTTATAAGAAAATAGATGATAATTTTAAAGTTTAAATTTACTGTGATGGCCTGAAAAAGGATAGAGCCTCCCATGTGTTTGGTGTACTACTTACCCATATCAAATACCTACCTGAAATGATTTTGGCTACTTACCTTGTTTATTTGGCGATTACCTTTATATATGCAACATTAGAATACATACCATTCATGTGATTACAGGTGAATGGCAGAGAGACAAAGGAGCTAGAACAAGAGTCCAAACTGTCAGTGAGTCCTTCTCCATCGAACGCTTCGTCCAATACCTCTCTCACGACTCCCACAGCAAACACTCCGCCTGAGGTAAAACTATTAACTTGACGTTCTTCAGAAGCATTACTGGCTCAGAATCACTGACCGTGTGTTTGTATTGTCCAGGGTCTGATCACTGATGCCATACCAGCACTAAACCTGAGCCTCCAGCAGGTCAAGGAGCTCGCTCACCAGAAACGTTCCAACAAAAGAGCCCCGCCAATGGACTGGACCAAGAAGAATGAACTGTTTAGCAACCTATAGGGGATTTTATTGATTATACACTGAGAATCGGACTGGTTTTACAGGTTGTGATGAAAGAGAAGGAGCTGGTTGCTTTTTGTAAAATATGGTCTTACCACTTTACTATCTTATTATATCTCAGATGTTTTATGTATAATGTGCTACTAACAAAAGCAATATACACATGTGACCTATGTGAAATGTGAGTGCATTTATGGGCCCTGACAATCCCTGCTGGACAGAGCAGAAAAGCAATGGAAGTTGGTTTTGAGACGGTTAATGACAGGTTTTTACGGATCATCCTCATCACATAAATCTGACAATCAAGACTTTGAACCTGCCTAATCTTTTGTCTTTACATTAAAATAGATTCTATTCCAGCACATCACATTACATTTTAAGAATGATTTCCGCCTTTGTTATTATGCTACAGCTTTAAAAAACTGGAATGTATATATCTAAACAGAACCTATTTGTATTATATATATATTTTTAAAAGGTTGACCGAAGCTCTATAGTCTAAAGTTAGATGCAACTTTATATTGCTATATTATCTTTTCCAGTGCACTGTAACATTGCCATGACAAACGTCCCCTGTGAATGATCATATATAGATGCGTTTATTTCTGTGAAAAGTATGTTATCTTGAAATTAGTCTATAGGGTGAAATGTTTTTGCTTTCATAAGATCGAATGCTTTTCTTAGAATTCCAGAATCAATGAAGGAAAACTGATTTAAATGTGAGGAAATGTTTTTGTAGCTTGTGTAAGCTAAACTCAATTTACATTTTAATAAATAAGTCACTATTGCTTTTGTGAGTCTTCTTCATAGTTTAAAAAAAGTATTGTGTAAGTGTCCTGTCTTCATGGATGTCATTGCTTTGCCGCAAATGTTCCACAGTATGACATTAAACTTATTTATTTAGCAGTAATTAAAGTAAGGGTGTTGAAACTGCTAAAAAAAAATCGGGCTTCCCTTCCCACAGATACAACCTGTAAATTGGCCTGGTGGCATCACTTGTCTCCATGTAGACAGACAGACTACCATGCGGTGGAACATTCCCGGCATTTCCTTGGTAAAATGCATTTTTGTATGAAGGCCACACTAGTGCATCATGGTCTAATTAAAGCCTGTAAAAGCCGCTCCCTATCACTGAGTGGTCTGTGCATGTTTATTTCATCGCAGGCCTTCTTACTTGTGGTACTGTGGTCCTTTTCTGTCCTCCAACTTGTCACTCTGTCTCCGGCAGCTGTCCCTGTCTAATGGCCCAACCTTAGCACTGCTTCCGTCTCCTTCCAGCCACAACTGTCATTATCCCGGGCCGCTGTCACACTCTCCATCTTGGTGGTATAATTAACCTAATTGGACAATGTGACAGTGAGGGGAAGAGGGGTGAAACAAGGTGAGATGTTAGCTAACTATCGTCACTCTTGGCATATCCTAACGACTTTAGGGGGGGATATTTAAACTGTAGATGTTAATCAAGAACAATTAAATATAATACCCTTGAAAATACAGCCAAGACAAGACATCGGCATTTTCATACATAGACAATTTTACTAAAAAAAACACACACAATATAAACGTAACCCTAAATAAATACCTTAAAACTAACTAAAAATGGATTGTGACATTTTGTGGCATCAAACACCCAGTAAATGTGCGTCATAATATTTGTTTGTACAGTGTCCTTGAGTGCTCAGAAGGTGCGTTTAAATTAAATTGTATTATTATTACTGAACTATACCACGAGCAAACTGATTCATGTGTTAAAATAACAGAAAATGTACCATATATGTATCCGTCTTATTGCCTCTGCACTGTGATTTGATCGATTTTTACACCAGATGCACTTCGTATCTCAAAAACATACTGTATAGTGGGCAATGTGGGTAAATGTAAGTGTAAGTGAATGTCATCCCTCCCTCTAGCCTAAAGAAAATGACGATTTCTGTAATTCTTCCAAATTTGACAATATCCAACATACTTTTATTGGCTATTGCTGTAATCCTAGTATAGACATTTCCATCCTGAAATGTACCTGCTGTGCACTTGTCTGGGACTTTAGTAGTGGTGTAATTAAGATGATAAGGGGCAGGTGGACCTTCACAGCTTAGACGCAAACACAGCCGGTTTCCAGGCAACACTGTCCATCGGGGGTCCTTGTAAGGCCTGAGGCAAGGGGTCACCCAACTCCACTTCCAAACCTCCGAGCAGGCTAAAAATAGGCTCTCTGTGTGTGGGACAAGCCAGTGACAAATCTGATGAATAGAAACACAATAAAGAAGATTACAGTACAAGTTTTTATGGCAAAAGCTTATGTATTGCAGAAAATTATGTAATGTAATAAAAGGAAAACTGATGAAACAAAAAGAATAAAAGGAAAATGAAATAATTATAGTGGTGTCTGTGCAAGCAACTCACTTTGAAAATGTTGGGATGTAATGATATCCAAATCTCTCGGTACAATCTTATCATGATATTCATCTCACGGTACGACATTTACTGTGATATTTTAAATAGGCTAATATAACTGTAGGTGGGACACTTTTTTTCTTTTAAAATACCTTGACAAGATTTTGGTGTAAATTATTCCCGTCATAATCCCAAGAATTCAAATAAAAAACATATTTCTTCATGCTGTCTGCACTGAAATGAATCATGGGATATGTAGTTTCAGATGCGCATATGCTGTTGCAACTATAAAACCATGCATTTAAGCAAAGGAACTTGTAAGTGGATATATTGCGGCATCCCACGATATTATTGTGAGACTTTTGACGATACGATATCACGATATTTCGGTTATTGTTACGTCCCTAATAAAGTCTATGTTTACATTATAGCTTGTCACATGCCATTCGTTGCCACTACAGAAGGGGTGAAAGAGTTCATTTTGATCGGTTTTCACAGGAAAAATGATCCTATCTTACTTTACTTACTTACTTACTCCCAGGTGGATATTGCTGTAACATTTCCCGTCCATGTGTTTGTTTTATTTTTTCATTTGGAGACACTGGGGGGTAAGATTTAAGAAAACTTGCTACATTTCGTATTTAATCCCAGTAAATCTGAATACACGGTTAGTTTTAAATGTTATTTAGTGAATTAAGTAACTCGATTTGCGTTTGAGGCCATTAGCATAATTTAGCTTCAGGTGAGCTAACCATCATAGCCCTAGCGGTTAGCACTGTTAGATAGCCTGCGTACAATTTGCCTTTTATTTTGGTTAACTGGGGATTTTTAGCTTACTTTTCAAAATTATTAATTGACTATATATTTATTAACATAAATATTGAGTATACTTTGTCTTCATTTTCTTCGTATCTATTCTTTATAACGTGAACATACCATTGGACATGCATCCGGCGTTGTGTGTTGATGCCAGCTGTATTATTATTACATCTTATTTTACCCACTGTACATTAGTAGTATAAATGACCTTCCTGGCCTGTGCAGCTCGTCTGTAGACCTACAGTTGAATGCGCACAGTCATAGTCTGCGCTGAATTGTTTTAGTGATGGACTCACTGTTATTATTTACTGTGCTCTTCTTTCAGCACTGGCTCTTTCGGTTCCAGCTCTGGAGTGGTAATCGAGCTCCATGCATTCTGCAGCTCATTTATAGGCCCAGGGTCGCCACCACCTCATCCATAGGCCTATCCAAACTTTTGGCTGTCTGATTGACAACAAATTGTTTTTCTAAAGTTAACTGGTAAACAAGGTATAAATAGGCTCATGCTCAAACAATAACATGAACAGAGTTGTTATAATTATCTTTCATACTTCGAAGGATGTCAATGTGTTAAAATCACTGAGATGCAGCAGTAGATGCAAATTCCTTTTTTCAATTGCTATCCGCTCTAACTGTGTCCCAAATGGGCTGGTTCATTAACCATTCACTGAGTCTAGTACTGAGTATTATCTTATGGTATAATGGTGTGGTCAGTGAGTGTGTCTGTGTCCCAGGAAAAGGCTTGGAATGGGACAGCACTTGGAGCTTAGCACCATTCCAGTGAAACACCTGTTCCACACATGCACTCCCCTGGCATGGTCGCACACACCTGTCTGAAGCATGCACACTCTGCCTGTATCCTCCGCCTGTTTGTCTTACTGTCACACTTGAACATACTGTGACATGCTCACAAATATTTACACTTGTGTCTGCAAGGTCATATATCTATATTCTCCCTCACATGGCTGTCATTTGACTTTTTCTTATGGCATGGTACATGTGTACTGTGCATCTTACTGCTTACTTAGAAAAATCGGATTCAACCTTATGGGTTATGCATTAGTTTCATGTTTCAATTTACAAATTATGTACTTTTAAAACTGTAATTGTAATTTTGTAGCTCAAATGTGTTTTTGCTGCAAGAAGAAAAGATTGTAATATCCTCTTGCATCTGTCAAATGCAATATAATTTCTTCACTGATTGTTTGATATGATGCTTGAATTTATTTTTTTTGTCTTCAAATTCCTAATAACTCTCTCTTGTTCTTCACAGAGGAGTTCCTCCAGTGTGCTCATCTATCATTCTGTCAGCGCGGTTGTTGCTGTGTGCACCCTGTCTTTCCCAGCATGGGCGCACACAGGCCCCTATATGGTGCAGCCATCCGGCGGGGAGCCTCAGGGTTAAATATACTCCAAAGCTCCAAGAATGACAAACTCCTTCGACCAACCTGCCAGCCAAATAGCCACCGATGGGTATAAGCCACACACACACACACACACACACACAATGGTAACACATGCTGACTGTCAGATAAACACTCAGCTTTTATTGTGCCACTGCTTCTTCAGTGCAGGATTTTGGGTAAACATCGTCACATCATCTTCACATTAATTGCACATAATACAGAGTTTGGCATTAGTTCACATCACATTATATGCCTGCAGTTAATGGATAATAGTTCTTGGATAAAACACTGCTGTATGTATTATCATAAAATCTTAGCTTATACAGCACATCAGTTTTCTATTGATGCTGTCCTTTGTTTTGAAAAAGAAAAACATGATTTATGATGAAAAAAAAATTTAATTAAAAGTTCATTCTTCCCTGTGGTAATTTGTACTGTAATAAAAGTTTTTCACGCTGTTATAACATGTAAGCACGACGTGTTTTTAAGCCATCATTATTTTAAAACTTCTGACACTTGAAGCTCTGAAGGCTTGTGTGAAGCGTGGTGTAGATTCCATCACTGTGCTAGAGGACATGGAGTGTTCCTTGAGTGCTGTAGCTGATCTTCAGAGAAGGAAGTGTCTCTTTATTAGTTTGCAGAGGGTACATTGGAGATGAGAGCAAAGGAGGAGGGCTGAGCACAGGGCTGAGGGAGGAGGGGCGTGACATAAGACCCCCACACGAGAGGCTGAGTGTCCCAGCTTCATGGTTTCAGGGACAGGGTTACTTAAGAGTCCCTCTCTTTGGGACACTTCCAGGGACATGGCACGTGGTGAAAGAGAGAACAAGTCGATTCAAGGCGACACATTGTTCAGATGGCAGGCGACCGGACTACATTTACGCATTAGGCACTCAGTATGGTGGTTTACCTAGTAAGAGACAAGATTTCTACTGATTGTATTTATAACACAGACAATATGAGCCTCACACTGTCCTAGTTACCAAAAAGGTTTTGCATTGTAGAGCAAGGCTTTTTAATTTCTCCTGATTTTTCAGAGTAAAGGTTCCAGGAAAGCGTTCCTGAAACAAGTCCCTTCCTATAACTACTGATTTTCTACTGATTGCCTTGCTAGAGTGGCTGTATGTCAACAAATGTTTTAATTTTGTGTAAATGGACACCACACTGTG